AAAAAGCTAAATTGGATGACTGTATTTGTAAATTCAATAAAAAAAAGAATTAATAATCGGAATGCAATAGCAAAGAACCACAAGAAAAAAAAGATTAGTATTCCGTCTGTATCTGTTAAGTACCATAATAAAAATGATTAAATGCTCAAACTATATTCGTAAAAAAGCACAATAGAAAGGATTTAATACTCATACTGTATCCGTAAAGAACGAGTAAGAAAAAGTTTAATACTCCGGTTGTGTTTTTAAGGAGTACTATAATTAAAATGATTTAATTCTCACACTTCATTCTATGGAGCCTTAATAAAAAAAGGCTTAGTACTCCGATTGTCTTTGTAAAGTACCATAGTAAAACTTACTTAATATTCAAGATGTGTATGAAAAGAACCATAAGGAAACAGACTCAAACTGACTGTATTTATAAGGAATCATTAAAAAAATTTAAATACTCCTACTGTATTTTTAAAGTACTTCAATAAAAGTTATTTAATATTAAGACTGTTTTCTAAAGAGTTTTAATGAAAAAAAAGGCTTAATACTCCGATTGTCTTCGTAAAGTACCATAATAAAAATTGCTTAGTACTCGGAATGTGGGCAAAGGACCTTAACGGAAAAGGCTTCCAGCACCGACTGTATTCGTAAAGTGCCATAATAAATATGACCTAATACTCAGACTGTATCTTAAAGAACCGGTAAGAAAAGCGTTTAGTACTTCGGCTGTATTTTTAAAGTACCACAATAAAAATGATTTAATACTCACACTGTATTCTAAAGAGCCATTATGAAAGAAAGAATTAATACTCCTAATGTATTTGTAAAGTACCATAGAAAAATTGATTAATACTCGGAATGTCTTGACAAAGAACCATAAGGAAAAAAGTTTAGAACACAGACAGTATTTGTATATTACCATAATAAATACGGCTTGATACTCACGCTGTATTTGTAAAGACCCATTAATAAAAATGTTTCAACCCCGACTGCATTTTTAAAGTACTACAAATTTGATTCAATACTCAGACAGTATTCTAGAGAGCCATAATGAAAGAAAGAATTAATACTTCAATTGCCTTTGTTAAGTACCATAGTTAAAATTGCTTAAGACTCGTAATGTATTTGAAAAAAAAAAACCGAAAGGAAAAAGGCTTACAACATCGACTATATTTGTAAAGTACAATAATAAATATGACTTAATACTCAGACTGTATTTGAAAAAAAAAATAAGCAATAAGAAAAATGTTTAATACTCCAACTGTACTTTTAAAGTACCACAGTAAAAATTATTTAATATTCAGACGGTAAAGAGCCATAAAGAAAGAAGGCTGATTGTCTTTGTAAAGTACTGTAATAAATATGGCTTATTACTCAAATAGTATTCTTTAAGTACCACAATGAAAATGATTTAATTTTCAGAATATGTTCGTAAAGAACCATTAAAAAAAAGGATTTGTACTCTAACTGAATTAGAAAAAAATCATAATGAAAAGGCTTAAAGCTCAAACTATATTTGTAGAGTACCCTAATAGAAAAAGACTCAATGCTCCAATAACATTTGTAACTTTAGCTTTTGAAAGAATTTTAGTTCTGGCCGCAAATTATTTATTGGAAATAGCTTTTCCAACAACTTTCCTCGAACGTAAATTGAAGGTAATTTGTCTCAGTATCCATTTACAACAATTTAGCTAACTCTTGCTGGAAAAACGAGGGGTTATTATCCACGTGCGCCGATCTCTAACTGGCTATATTTTGAAATAAGCAGACGAAGACTAGGAGGAAGGTACAAACGTCTACAAATGGAACGTAATTATACTAAAAAATAAAATAGAAAAAGCTTGTGAAGGGGGAAGGCCGCATTTTTAACAAATAGTACCGGTAACTCAAAAATGTCTTTGGTAAAGATGGGGAGGAAAAAAAAATTGCTTGGACAGTTTTCTTCTGTATCATTTCGAACTAATCCATCCATCGAAGTATTCGAGAAAACTTTTGAAAGAGATGAACCCGCTTCTAGCTCTGTAAGGCCAAGAAGGGCGTGTCTTTAATAATCTCTATAATAACAGGTTAACTTTTGGAGAAGGGGGCAACAAACAAAAGATTGGGGGACGAAAAATAACACTGTGTGGTTTCCAACTTCAGAATTTTAGAGGAAGGAATGATGAGGGGGGAAGGGGGACGAAAACCAGTTTTTTTGTTTTAAGGGGGGAGCTGTCAAATGAAATAAGAGAGGGGGGAAGTAATAAAACAGTGATGATTGTTACTACAGACGTTTTCAGCATTGCAGTAGTCCGAGAGAAAATTGTGTTTTGTTAATTTATTCTGTGAGATGCGTTATAAACAAACTTGAGGGAAAAAAATAAGAAATTTTATTAAGAACGCGAAGTAAACACCTGGCGTTTTTAAACAAAGATGAGTTAGTTTGCATTGTTTAAGTTCTTGATTTTAAAAAGGATTTTCTGCAAGCGTTTGACCTGCTAGACTGTCACATTCAAAATAAAATCGGATAGTAGTTTTAGGCTTACTCTAGATAACAAGTTATAAGAAAGAAAATTATAAGTACTCTTTTTAGATAATACAGCATCATTGTTTAAAAGTGCACATTTAATATAATTACGTGAAATAACATCCTATTTTTAAAAAGGAATTTAGTTTGAAATTATTGTAACTTATAATAATAAGTTATATAACTAGTTATAAATGGTAGCAATAACTTGAATTTTGAGGGTTTTTTTTCAGACATTGATGTTTAATTAAATATTTGATAAAATGTAATAAATTATAATGTTAGATTAAGATGCAGATATTTATGTAAACAGATTTACAAATTGTTTATAGCGCAACTGCTTTTAAAGCAATTTTTATAACTATTATTTCTTAGATTTATACATAGCTTCAAGAATTTATTTTAAATTTCAGGTATTATAAAGGGTTAAAGTTTAGTAATTTCCAAAGGAAAGAACTAATATATACCAATCTAAATATGTATTTTTTTCTGTCATCAAAAAGGAATATTTCTCAATCTATATTGGCAACACTATAGCTATTATTCATTTTGTTAGGTTGCCTTAAGTAATATTTTAAGTAGAGTTGAATCGTAAATTTTGCCTTTTTCGAGCAATAACATATTGATGAAACTAAAGTTATGGTTATAGAAGAGTGTGAGGAAGTAGTACAGGGCATTGGGATGAGTTTTCTATCTTATCTCAAGACAGCGATGGAAATAAGTTTAATACTTCTGCCGCCTTATGCGCTGAAATGTCCCGAAATCATACCTGCGGTGGTTTGATGGCTGTGGACAGATTTGAAATTATTGCCTTTCGTTATAAATTATTTAATAAATAGCTTTTATGACATGATCTATAGTATCATTATAAAATTACTAAATTTCACAGCATTTACTAAATTTCATCACATATTATAAAAGCATATTTAATTGTTAATTATCCTGATAGTTTTGACCATGCTTTTTTTAAGAGAGTGTGGATTACAGACAAACAAAATGTAGGAGGGAAACTATGGTCCTAGTAAAATAACCAGCATCAGTCTGTCCATCCGATTAACTATAAACTTTATGGTTAATAGCATTTTTTACTTTTACGATTGTGAAACCGTTTACAACTGGTATGGTTGAAAAACCGTGAATACTAAATTATACCGTTTTGTATCTAATTACAACTAGCATAGATTCTAAACCATGAAATTAAAACTTAAATGGACATTGGAGCTTTGTGGGAGCTACACCAATTAGCTGGGATTCGAACGCCTGTACGGCTGGTTATGAGATTGACCAATTCGCCTTCTCTGCTACAGTATGCACCCAGTTGCTCGGAAGAAAATTGCCTTATAAGATAGGCCTATTTGGCGCGGATAGAATTGCGCTTCTTTAACCGTATTAGAAAAAAACACTCAATAAACGTTTTTTTTCACATTTAAGTTTGAATATTATCCTTTTTACGGGCATTTGACAGTTTTGTTTTAATATGGTATGATAAGAATTAAATTAATTGCTATTTGACCATTTTCGCGGAGACATTTCTAATAGTGTAAACTATCTAATCTTCCTTTTCTTATCCGAATTTATCTTTATTACAAATTGTTTTAAAAATATCTGCAGATTCAATACTAAGAATTTTAGATAAAGTTTCAAAATTTCTAATTAAATAAATTTAAGCCAAATATTTATTGTAAAAAAAAATCACACTGTAAAAAATACAATATTAATTTACGGTATAAATTACCGGTTCTTTGAGTGCATCATCCATAAAATCCATTATTATTGTAAAATATTATATTGTAATTTTTACAGTGATATTTATTTAATTAGAGTGATTCAGTGATTTTACGGTAATTATTACTGTAAACATTTGCTGTATATCATATTTTTTGTTAACTAACGAGTTCTGGAAGAACGGATTTTACGGTAAAAAGTATCAGCACCCTGAGTGCCTGTTCTTTTTACCGGAATTTTTCATAGTGTAATTTTCTTTCTTGTTTTTTCTACGTGTCCGAAAATCATATAGAGTAAAATTAATTTCATGTATTTAACTTTAAATTTTTCGACGAATTAGTTAATAATATAGATATTTTGGATAAAACTCTAGCTGTTATATTAATCAGCGTAAAACCAATTAGTAATTGAAGAATACCAATTAGTTAGGCAACATGAATCACGTTACAAATCAGAACGAAGCAGCATGAAATTAGTCAATCTTTCTTTCACTTTTAAACAATTAGGCAATTTCAATAATAATATACTTTGATTAAAATTCCATAATTACAAATTTGATGAAGTTAATCAATTAGTAACTGTAGAATGTTGATTAGTTAATGCGCGTTCGAATTAAAGTGAAAACGATGACAGAAGCCAAGTCATGGAATGATGAGAGAAATGAATGCATTACACTTTCTAATCTTCCTCTTCCAAACATCCATTCATCCCAACCCCTCTACTCCACCCCTATTTGATTCTCTTACCATCCCCTTTGGCAAGGTGCGGAGGGGTGGAGAAGGCAAGGAAGCATAGGTATTGGGTGAATCTCGGCGGAGGTGAGTTCAACGTAGCTTGACGCGTTTTTCGTCCTAAAAACTCAGCTCAAGCTCTTCAGAAGCCTCCAGGCAGATGCAGGCCGCTTCAGCTTAGGGAGCCTACAAGTTTTATAGGCAGACGATTTTTTTAATGTTTAACCGTGATTTATTTATTTATTCGAAGTTAGATGGAACAATGTGTTATCGGCATGGACAGACTTACATAGGCAACTTATTCTATTGACGCTTTTTAATACTGGAATCATAAAACTGATTCTTCAATTCATTCAGTTTCCATGTTGATAAATTTTTTCATTCGTGAACTTTGACTTCGTGAAAATATTATTTTTAGGTAAGATTTTCTGCAGTGATTTTATTTCCGAGTCGTGGCATTGAAAAAAGTGGACATTTACGAAGATTCCCATGAATAAAAATACAGAAAAATTTTTGGTCTCGGATAAGATCGATTGAGAAAATGACAGTTTTAATGAATTAGATGTATCTTGGAATAAGATTAGAAGAACTGAGATGATAATTCCTGCAATTTTACTAAATTGAGAAAGTTATACAATATGATAAGATGAATTAAAAAGTACTTTTTGCTGAATTTGGCCTGCCCGATATCTCAAATCGTTTAGCAGCAAAGAAATTATAAAGTTTTGTTTCGAAGAAATCAACAGCAGCAATTGTAACAAACGCTCATCATAATTCAATACAAATAACAAAGTAAACACTCTCCGCCGAGAAACAACTGTAAAAAAAACCCGTTTTTTCTTTTCGTCTCCATCCCGTACTGAAGAAGTTGTGGACGGGAATCTTCCGAAGGAATCACCATTCATACATTGGCCAAAGATCACAGAAGCAGACTTGAAAAATCCGCGCTTCATGCTTCGATCTATTTGACTTAATATTGTGGGGTTTTTTGATCTGCCTTCAAGTTGGCCGACGTGCAAGTGTTGCCCGAAGTCGGGGTGGGGGAACCCCCTCGGGAAACGTGGGAGATGTTGATGGCACAGTTGCAACATCAATCGGACATTGTGTCATCAAGGAAGGGACTAAAAGGACCCCCGGCAGAAGGAGAAGGGATGTCACCTTTTTCGCCTACCCAGGCTATTGCTCCAAAAACGGGAATCGCCCGTTCGCAGTTTTCTCTGCCATACGAGTCCGAGGTAAAAATATTTCAATCTATAAAAACTGAATTTAAAACTACTCTTTAAAAAGATATAATTTCTTTGAATTAATAATCAATATTTTATATATTGTTATATTTAATTTTGTATTTGCTTATAAAATTTAATTGAAGGATTAATTTAAAGTTAAAATTATATTTACAATGTGATAATGTATTCAGTTATTATTTTCTTCTATGAACTATTGTTTCTTTAAATGAATAGGCGGCATTTTATTTATTGCTAGAGTTAACTAAAATTATATTTTACAATGGGAGATAATATGTTTATTTATTATTTTCTTTTAAGAATTATCGTTTCTTTAAATAAATAGGCGGCATTTTATTTATTGCTAGAGTTAACTAAAATTGTATTTAAAACGTGATTATATGTTTATTTATTATTTTCTTTTATGAACTATTTTTGCTTTAAATAAATAGGTGGCATTTTATATATTGCTGAAGTTTAGTAAATACATTTACTTATAAAATTTTCCTAAAATATTAATTTAAAAACTATCTTGAATTAAATATATTATGTAATAATACGTCTTTATTCCTTTTTTTCTTTTATAAGTGATATCTTGTTTATTGTTTTAGTTTTACTAAATGGATTTACATATAAAAACTTAGTAAAAGATAAATTTAAAAACTAATTTTAAATTAAATCTGGGCTATGATAATTTATTTACTTATTATTTTTTAATAAATTATCGTTTCTTTAAATTATTAAACTATGCTTCATCTATTGTTATAATTTACTAAATGTAGATGTTTTTGAAATTTTATTTCATTACCTTTTCCTCGAAACTTTACCTTGCTTCCCAATTCATTATTTTTAGTAAAATGAATTAAATAAAATATTTTGAAACCTGATTCTTTCCAGTATTTTAACAAAATATCGTATATTATAATAATAAATTTTTTATGCAATTTATTTATTTTTTAATACTTTAATCATCTAAATAATTCGGTATAAAATTTTTACATGTATTTTGTTTAGTATAAATTTTTTTTAAAAATTTTTAGTATAAATTTTTTTCATTACTTCATTGTTTCGATGCTTAGATCATATAAGTTCATATATTTTAGAATAAAACATTGTTTCCATCCACACTTTCAACTAAAAAATAAGTTAAGCTTTAGATTTGGGAATTTCACAGAATTGTTGAACAAACTTGTTGTTGAAACTCATAAATCTGAAAAATATATTATTAAGTTAATGAATTAGAGCTACAAATGTACTAAAAAAGCTTATATATTTTATTATCTTTTTTTAACTGCAACCGTTCTAAAATTTACATCCTTTGCATTTGATTTTCATACCACGTTTATTAATTAAGGGATTTAGATGTCTTTTATTTCATCACAAAAACATGAATGTTAAACTGTTTCTAAATTTTCTATAAATTAGCTCATATTTAACTTCGGATTTTGAATCTTTTACTGTTGTTGAACACAAGTACTGATATTATTTAAATGTGACCATTTTAAAACAATGTAAAGAACTTTTTATAACTCAGTTTTCTTTTGAGTTAAAATTTGAAGAAGTAGAAAATTATACTATAATGTCTTGCGCACATGATTAAAGTCATAAAAATCATGTTAATGAATTGAAGCAACTTTTAATGAACAGTTAAATGAGCTCGCACTAAAAACCTACAAGCTTAAGGAAATTTTTAAAAAAAAAAGAAGTTTTTTTTAAATTAAACAAAACTTAATTTTCTTTGATTTTTATAGAAAAAAAATATTTTGATCAAGAAGAAATATAAAATATTACCAATATTTAAGTACCAGAACGAATTTAAACAGTACGCTATACTCAAATATGTTACTAAGTTTTAACTTTGAAATCTTGCGTTCAATCTTGCTCTTAGAAGTTAAGAAATCTTGCTGACAATGCGAAAACATTTGAATTGAGAAAAGCAGATTTAAAGACAAACTATGAATAACAAATTTGAAACAAAATATCTGAGTTTACAGACGATTCCTATTTTAAAAATTAGGGGTGTTATTTTCAGTTTTCATTGGGTTTTAGTATTTAGGGGTTTCATAGGATTTAAGTATTTTTACTGTATTCATAGGGTTTTACAGCATTTATATTCATAGGGTTTTAGTATTTTTACTGTACCTATGGAAGTTTTTTGAATATTTTCTTATACTTCGTGTACAATTGTTCATAACATATATTTTTTTTTCTTTCAAAAAATTGAAACTTTTGATAGAAAAAACCCTCTAGACTTCTTAAAATGGAAATTCCATCTCTACAAAGAGAAAGAGCGTGATATATTTAGCAGCAACCTAAACGTTAATTTTAGCAAATTATTTAATTGAGGACATGCATGCAAACTTTGTTATTAATAAAGAGTTATAAAATCATTTGGCATGTACATTTAATCTAGTCTATTTACTGTCAACTTAGCAAGTTTTAAGTTTTCTTTGTACATGATGTAAAATATTTTAATCCCTTTTACCTTAAAATTTGTATTTGGACAAACTAATGCCACCTTTTTGTGAAAATATCAAATGAAAAAAATATGTTTAAAAAACATGTTTCATTTAGCACTTATACAATTTTCAAATACTATTACAAATACAATTTCTATTCAAAACTATTTATCACTTGAAAAAATTCTTTGCACATTACATTTTATTGAAAAATAACTTTATACTATGAAAAATATATCAGAAATGCTCCAATTATAATTCATTTGCAGAATAATGCGCATTATTTGAAGTATTTTCAAATTTTGATCTTTGATAAAAAGTGCATATTAATATTTCTTCATTCAATTTTACACCACAAATTAAAAAAGCGTGCTTTTAATTTATAAGTAAATTTTTTCTTTAACTCTTTTTCCAATTTTGCTTTTCTTTTAAATATTTTAATTCTGATTTTGATTTCTCTGAATCTTTTATTTAAAAATAAATTTACTATAACTTATCGACTTTTGCATGTAGTTGTACATAAAACCTAAACACTTTTGTACCATAGGACAGTTTACAAGATTTCTAAAAAAGACATTCTCATTTTGCTTTAGTTGACAAAAGTGATTTAAAAATCAATCGCAGAAACGTAAATTTTTGTATGGATGTAGTTAGAAAAAAAGAAAAACGTATAAACAATTTTAGTATAGATGCAGCTTGAACTTTATTAGCTTAATATGGTTTTCAGATTCATGAGTTAATCAGATCGTTAAGCAATTCTATAAAATTTTAACTTTTAAATTTATACTTAATACTCATTTTAGTTGAAACTGTGAAAACATTGTTTAATAATGAGATATTTATTACATTTTTTAGCAATTTTTTAAAATTTCCATTTTTAAAGATATATTTAATACTTATTTCTAGTTTAAACTGTGAAAATATAGTTTAATATTGAGATACTTATTAAAATTTTCAGCAATTCTAGAAAATTTCCACTTTTAAAGCTATACTTAATACTTATTTCTAGTTTAAATTGCGGAGACATTATTTAATGCTGAGATACTTATTAAACTTATATGATATAAATATCGAAACAATAAATGTTATAAAAAAAAGCTGACATTTATACGATTAAAGTAGTAAAAAATAAATAAATTACATAAAAATATAAGAATAAAAAAAGGTTATATTATAATATACAATATTTTTAAAACACAGGAAATTAGGCTACAGAAGCTTAGGAAAATAACTAAAATTTGTATCATTTTTCATACTATAAGTAAATAACATAATCTTTGTTATTTCGTTTTTTAAAAATTTATGTATTCCTCGTAGTTTTATTTTTAATGTAAAAAATTCATGTATAGAAAATATTTAAATATTTTCTTATTTAAAAAAGTAAATATATATCTAAACCACTTGAAAATTGTGAATTATTAGTAATATTATAAATATTTATAAGTTCCAAATCTCAAATAAATAAATAAGTAAAAACAGATGTAATAATTTATTTTCTTTCTTTGTAAAAACATCACTCTTTCTCCTACTGGGAAATATTAATAATGTTTTAAATTTCAGCTTTAATTAACATAAATATGTTTTAAATTACTAAAAAACTTAAATAATTTTACTATTGCAAAAAAAAAAAAAAAAAAAAAATTCAACATGATGGTGTTTTTAAAAATAAAAAGTTTCTTTCATTGCTTTTAAGAAACTTCAAATGATATTTTACTTTACTAAAATGAAGCAAGACTATCAAAACTTCATTAATAAGAATAAAACAAATTTCGGATATCGTTTTGAGCTCTAAGTGTACTTATGAAACAAAATTGAACTCTTATTTATCAGATAAAGAACTTAATCCCTTTGGAAGAAAAAACATTGATAAAAATCTAAACTTTCCGGAATAAAACATCATCTTGAAGTTTTAACTTCGCTTGACTGATCTTAGTCAAGATGAAGAAGTATCACTAAGATGAAAAATAGATGAGTCAACTATATCATCTACTAAAAACGTAATTCGATAATTGGATTTTTTTCTCCTTAAAACGTTACTAAAAAATTTTTTTTTTAAATTTTGGCAAAATGTTTTATTTATTTTGTTTAAAAAGTTTAAATTAAGTTTAGGTTTATAATTATAGATATTATTTACTCAGACCGTTATTTATTGTTATAATTTTTATTTTCGTTTCATAGTTCATGTTCTTATTGTGTTTTAAGACCATGAATAGAATTTTATTGAAAGTTTCAGAAAATATTAAATAATGGAGTTTTATTTTGATTAAGATTGTTTTTATTTTCATTTTAAAACATTTATTGAATTTGGTTACAAAATTATTTAGATTTGTACTTTCTCAGTCTGTTTTATTTATTTAATTTTTTTTAGGACGGTAAAACTCGCCATATTTTGTGTCTTAGCTGCATTTTGTATAGAAATAACACGGAATATTTCAATTACTTTGTTTTTATACTATTTTAATTTTAATAGTATTTTAATTACAATTTGAATGTATAAATAACACGTTAACTGCTTTTATTCAAAGGAATCGATAAAATATTTGTTTAAAAAGA